CAGGTGGTTCCCTGGGAAAGACCTCTCACTGAATCATGAAGTGACTGAGAACATCACACGGCACACAGAAGGCGCCCAGCAGAGACCGCTGGCTTTTATAACACTCACTTCCACAGCAGTGTGCCCACTCCCTTAGAGCAGCCTTAAGCCATTCATGAGGGCTGAGTCCTCCTTAATCCATCGACCCCCCAGGAGAGCAGTGCCCTCCACGTCCTGTCGCCTCGTAAGACCGTTACTTTGGACAGTAGATTTCAGCGTGAGTTTAGATGAGGACACACGTTCAAACTATGGCATGTGCTCTGCATCTGTCTCACACTGCCCAAGCCACCCCTTCCCACAGCTGTACATGGTGGAAATGGTCTTATCATACCCCTCAGTAATCCATTATAAAACGGAAACAAAACAAAACAGGCCGCCTGAGTCCTAGTGGTTAAGAGCCAAATCTCATATGACAAACTGTATTCAAATCCCAGCCTGGCCAGATTGAAAAACATGCCAAGAGCACGTGTGTGCCCCGAATTCTAACCGGGTAGAGAAATGGAGAAGGGGTTGCAGCATGACCACACGCCTTAGGGGAGTGCCTTCTCTCTTTTCCTCTCTCTCTGGTGATCTCAGGTGTCCTTCAACAAAATTAAAAGAGGGACCAGCAGTTGGCATAATGACTATGTCACTGGACTCCCATGTAGTCGACCGCGGTTTGAGTCTCGGACCTGGAGGCTTAAAACTCACGTTGGGCACGTGTGCGTGCGTGTCCAAGATCCCTAGAGGAGAATGTAGGAGAAGGGATTGTGGTGCGGCCATCCCCCCTGGGGGGTGATTTCTCGCTTTCTGTCTCTCTCTGTCTGTCTGGTGAGCGTACGTGCCCTATGGTAAAAACCTCTCAAAAAACAATAATAATAAAAAAAATGAAAAGCATAACAGGTTTGAACCCTGGAAAATATAGGTGGTGTAGTGATTGAGATGTTGACTCCCACATATAGAGATATAATGCTATCCTGGTTCAAGTCCTGGACCTGGCAGCTTGATTTCTTGCTAACCCTATCTCTCTCTGTCTTTGTTTCTCTCTCATCAAATTTAAAAATAATAAGAAATAAAATTAAATGAATATATTATTTTTAAAAATAAAATTTAGGCTCTGTATAGCACAAATATAATTTTTGATAACGTGTATTTTTAGGTTACAGATTCTCTTCAAGAACCTGTGTGTTGAATATTATGTCCATTCATACACATGATTTTATTCATAGACTTGCATGCACAGAATATAATGATTTAATATACAATGTAGAAAAATTTATCTTAAAAGAGTAAAAAAGGAAAAGATATTAATGGTGACTATTCATAATTTACAAGCTCTGATTAGCAGAAATGTCATATATAGCTAAAATGCTGCAGCCACTATAAAAATTAGGGGAGCTGATTCGGCCTTGAGGTTTTATAAATGCGAAGTGAAAGCTGGCTGCACACGTCCTATTCTTCCCCACCTAATGAAGATAAATTCCGGAGTTTCTCTTGAAGATTTTCAAGTAAATTAGAACCTAGAGGCCTGTCTAGTTGAGAGAAAAAAGACATAATAAAAAGCAGTAGATAAAGGGGTAGGCTCTTTAGTCTCACAGTTAACAACTTTTCATAGCAAGAAAATGTTTGCTCGAATGAGCTGACCAGCCATAGAAATAGATCACGCTCGGCCCACCTCTTTACCATTCAACTTCACATAAATGTCCCCGGCTCCACCTTCAGTCGTTCAGCCTGAGACTGATTTTTACGTGCAGAAAATGTCCGACAGTAGAACGCTAATCCTTCACAACAGGAAATTTTAAACTTTTAAAAGAGCAATGTTTCATGAAGTTAATGAAATTGTCACCGGGACACTTGGTAAATTTGTCATAGAAAATTGCATTCATCGAAGATTAAAACAGGTAACAACTGAAGACGGGAGATAAACAAAGATTAAGATGGCACATGCCTTTTGAGAGATAAAAGAGAGATGTTACAAAGAGCAAAGGAGAAAGTAGCATAAATTGAGGTAGTCGTAGGGGTTTTTTTATGATCATTTTTTTGTGATCACAGCATAATGGTTAAGGATTTTAATTAGGGAGCTTGGGTTGAGACCACATCTCTTCCACTTCCTAGCTGTGTAGCAATTGGCAAGTTACTTACACCCTCTGTGTCTCAGTTTCCTGCATAAACTGGCCATGGTGTAGCACCTCGTCATAAACTGACCTTGATACATTTCTGATTTGGAGTATGTAAGCTTCTCCAGAAGCAGTGAGATCTAGTTGTTGGTCCTAATTACACTTTCAAGTCTAATTTTCATGTCAATGCAATGGACAATAATAGGGATACAGAGGCCACATGTGCTTTTGATTTGACCGATATTTTCATCATAGTTAGCCTTTGCATTACTTTAATGCTTAAAATTGGATGGTAGTTTAGAACAAATCAAACACCATTCTAAAGCAGCCATTATAATTCAGAAATAGATGCATACATCTTTAAACATGCAAAAAAATTTAATATTAATTTTAATAATGGATAAGTTGTGTTAAAAAAGTACTTTTGGTTATTAGCATGACATCTGTTTTTGTTCAACTCAGTTGAAATATTCACCTCTCTATCTTACGTAGCTAGCATGAGTATCATTAAGTCCTAAGAGCTCCATCCTAGGGACAAGGGAAGTTTATCATTCTGAACCCACTGTGAAGCCAAGATGAATTTTCTCCAGCGTACATAGTATCCATATCTTTAGAGATATAATGTTATCCTGACCTGAACCTAAATGTCACATATACTTTATTTGAGATGCCATATTATGTGTGTGTCACGTGTGTGTGTGTGTATTTTATAAAATAGCTCTAGAAACATTAAAGTTCATGAATATCCAGGTTCATGAAGATTTATTCTGGCCCATAAAACTAATTATGAAATTTCAGAAATACTTAAAGTATTATTTGGAACACATATATGTGTATATATATGAAATTAACTTCCGCTCTCATACAGGTGTCTTAGTTACTCTGTGGCAAAGGCAAGATTTCAGTCACATTTAAGGGGTTTTTTTTGGTGTGTGTGTGTGTGTATCTTTAATATTTTTTCATTTTCTTTTATACATTCAATCGCATTATTATTTGGCTTACAAAATGGATATTTCAACAGGTAAACATTTCTCCCTAGAACAGTTGATAAAACTATAAAATATCTTCAACAGATAATACCACAGTTCTTTGTGCCATTAATGCTTTGCCTTCCTATTTTTCTTCTAAATGTCCTTCTTCAGACCCTCCTCTTTCACACACACTATATCTGGTATTTATATCTATATGCTGTGTTTATCCTTTAGTCAATCAGTTTCAGTCATAGAGTGCGGACACTCAGTATATATTAAGTGGGGACATACAATACCTCTCCTTATCATAACTTGGTGTGCTTCATTCAACAGTAAATCTTCCATATTCATCCACTTCTTATCAACAGCCAGGGTTTTGTTGTTTATTTTTTTTTTATGGTTGAATAGTATTCCATAGAGTATACGTGCCACAGTTTTTCTATCCATTCATCTGTTCATGGGCATTTGGGTTGTTTCCATGACTTAGCAATTGTGAATGGTGCTGCAATAAACATCGATGTGCAAGCACTTTTCCAATTAAGTATTCTTCTGTCCTTTGGGTGGATACCAAGGAATGGGATTGCTGGATCATATGGTAGTTCTATTTGCAGATTTTTGAGGAATCTCCAAATTGTTTTCCACAGTGGCTGGACCAATTTACATTCCCACCAGCAATGTAAGAGATTTCCTCTTTTATCAAACCCCCGCTAGCACTTATAATGTTTTGTTTTTTTAATCTTGGTCATTCTGACTGGGGTTAGGTGGTATCTCATTGTTGTTTTGATCTGTATTTCCCTTACAATGAGGGATGCTGAGCATTTTTTCATATGCCTTTTAGCTATTCATATGTCATCTTTAGAGAGTGGTTTTTTCAACTCATTCTCCCATCTTTTAATAGGATTGATTGTCCTTTTTCAGAAAAGCTGCTTGAGTTCCTTGTGAATTCTGGTTATAAATCCCTTATCTGATGCATAATTTACAAAAATATTTTCCCATTCTGAGGGCTGCCTACTCACACTAATTA